CGCAAAATATACGAGAGTAGACACAATTAATATGCGCTATATACGGCGAAGTAAGAAACATATTAATATGCCCGCTATATACACGATAGGACTCAATACATATGCCGGCTATATAACAACGATCAAGAACTATAATAAATGCCATGCTATATAACGAGAGTAAGGACGCAATTTAAAGTAGCCGCTATATTGACGGGAGTAAGACAATCAATAATATGCCGCTAATATTACTCGAGTAGGACGCAATTAATAGCCGCTATATACACAGTAAGACACAATTAATATGCCGGCTATATAGAAAGTAAGACACAATTAATAAGCCGCTATCGTAAGATAGAGTAGGACAATTTAAGATGCCGCTATATACACGAGTAAGTACGCCATTAATATTGCCGCTATATAGAGAGGTAGGGACAATTAATTATTGCCGCTATATTAACGCGAGTAGTGACTCAAGAATATGCCAGGCGGCATATACGCGAGTAGGACGCAATTAATACGCTATCTACACGAGTAAGACAATTAAGTATCCGCTATATAACACGAGTGAGACGCAATAAATGCCGCTATATAACACGAGTAGGTACGCAATAATACCGCTATATAGAAGAGTAGAACAATAATATGCCGCTATATATACGAGTAGGACAAATTATATGCCAGCTAAGTATATACGAGTATAGGACAATAATGTGCCTCTATATATAACGAGTAGGACAATTAATAGGCGCTCTGGTGTAAAATTAGGACAATATCCTACCTACGAGATATGCCCAAAAATTGCCTAAGCTGAGAGCAGTGTAAAGCTGTGCCGGAAGTTACCAAACACCTAACAACGTCTGCAATATCTACATAACACATTATATTCTGCAGGTAAAAAATAGCAATACTAATTCATTTCAAGCACAGACCTACGCTCTACGCTGTGCGTGTGTGCGTGGCGGCGTGCGTGCGGTGCGTGCGTGCGTGCGTGCGTGCGTGCTTACCTGTATACTAGCAACTACGGCCGAGATACCTTGCCTTAAGCCCCCGAAAACCAACACTCAATGCCACAGAAACCATAAGGTAAAGTGACAAGCGTACAACCCGCGCGTAAGCACCACGCATCATCGCACACACGCAAAATTGGATACGATAAGGTATATATAGATCACTCTTCACATAGCGTTGGCTGCGCGTCTCACAGGGGAGAGGACGCGACTGCTTGCCCGAGGCAGCCGGCTGAAAGTGCGATAGAATTTACTTAGCACTTCAATTTTAAGCATATATTTTAACGAGTATATTAAAGAAAAAGTGAAAAACTAAAGTGCCCAACTCCTAACGCTAAACCACTAACCTCTGACCCAAACCTAACCAGCTACCCGCTAACCACTATACTCATGACCCCCTAATTAAATTTAAAATATATGTTAAAATTAGAAGTGCCTAGTAAACATATCCTATCGCACCTTTCAGCCGGCTGCGCCTCTGAGCAATAATGCCGCATGTTACTCGCACCCCAACACCTCTTTATACATTACTACAGAGTCATGTGAAATGCAGGGCAGTGCTGTGCAAATGAAATATTGGGATCGCCACCCGCTCTAAAGTATAAGCACCTTATGACCCCGAAAACGACTAGTACTGTATATACTAAATTTAAATATTGCAACAAAATATTATTGCTTTCGGGGCGATTGTACGTGGTCGCAGAAACGGTAGCAGTAATGAAAAGTAAACAACACGCTAGACAATAATGGTTCGCTCCTATCTTTCTGGTGAGAATAATAATATTCCACTTTAATGCATTTTTAATCCATTTTTTACTTGTAATGTCAGCTTCTGCCAGAAGGTAGCAGCATCGTCCAGTAATGTAATCGATTGTAATGCCGGCTTCTGCCACGAGGTAGCAGCATCGTTCAGTCAAGTAATTGGTCGTAAATATATTCCTTATTATGGTAACGCGTCTTTACTATATTTATTCACTTGTTTATTTTATTACTTATTTATCAACACGCATACATACATATTTCAGTAGGCTTTCCCTAATCCACAGCTTTCGCGAGAGATGTGCAACTCAGTGAACCCCTCTAGTAAGAGGTGTGAATGTTATTTTACTCCTGACGAGATATGCACAAAACCGCCCACGCGCATGTACATGATGTAGGTCAAGCTAATGTGCGTATGATAACCTCGGTCAACAAATCATAATAATATACCTACACATGCATTATATTCTAAACGATAAACGTAACAATAAGTAATTGCTCCGGGGCTTGTGCCACGAGGTCGCAGCATCGTCCAGTCATGTACTACAGCAATCGATTGCAAATATATTCGTTATTATGAACATGCAACTTTGATATTGAAGACCTGAGACGACATGAGATTTTTTAAGTTTTCGAGTTTCTGTATAATATATATAAATGTAACACCAATACTATATAAATAAATTTTCAGTCTTTAATTTTGAGTATTTTTCCTCATGTGAAATATCCAGGTATTTGGTTGAGAAATGTTGATGATATGACTAATTAAGTCACAAACAATGGGGAAGAATGCTCCAAAAATCCCGTTTTATACCTTCCCATAGGGATTCCCCAAAATGGGTCAAAATTCCGTCACAAAAATGCCCGTAACTCGTCACAGGAGTGGAATTTTTTAATTCTGTAAACGGATCTCTGTTTCTTGTGACTGGGGCTATCGAGATCTAAAAGATATAAAAAATGACCTACTGTGTCTATCATTGCTTTTCTTTGTTTCACATCGGACATAATATAATATATGAAAATTCATGCGCAGATGAAACTTAGAAACTCAGAAACTCGGAAATTCAGAAACTCGAAAACTCAGAAACTCAAAAAGTCGTATGTCGTTTCAGGGCTTCCATATAATATTGTTAAGACTATACACGCTCTACTTTGAACGTATTAGAATGGCTGAAGAACATTCTCTTGACAGTCAACAGTGGGCGATGTCGGAGCGTCTTTTTCATTTACATTAGCAAAGCGGGGAACCCAGGGCATGATGCTGCGAGGTAAATAAACATTATAGATCGGGTTTAACCAAGCACACGTGCTGTCGGCTCGCCTGGCTCCGGTTTGAACGCATAAGAACGGGCGAAGAAAATTCTCTTGGCAATCAACGGTGACCGACGCACGAGCGCCATCTTCCTCTACATTTATATGGTCATAGCAATATTAATACCAATAAAATTGTCTTGGGTAGTTATTATCTCTTATGTTATATTTAAAACGGTGTATATATAAATAGACATAGGAGATATATGTATTATATGTTATACAAGGAACGATTCAGTGCACGCGTTGATCGTGTCACGTTTGCTGTTGTTTTCTGCCACTCGGTGGCAGCACGTTCGGTGGCGCTTGTGTCGCAGATGACGTCATGGGAAAAATAACTTGGTACTGTTGCTGAAGAGATAAGCAGCGTCTTATTTCTCACATTTCTGCGAAAGTACGTCGTTATTTACGTGCACCGTTGGGATATTATTCTGTATTATTCAATCGTCGGGGATTGTATCATTCATGACGACCTGGTAAATGTATTTGGTGAGTAAAAGCTGCAAAGTCTGTCGGCGTATGACCGTATCTACTATCTAGCTAGCAGTGCACTGTTGTGTTGACATTCTTGAATGGAAATATACATGTAGTAGGCCTACATTATAATCATGCAAGCTCTACCCGCGTACCATTTTCGCTTCGCGACAGGTGTGTGGAGGAACGAAAATGCTACACGGTTAGAACTGATGACAGCTGCTTCTTGAAGGCTCTTGTACTGGAGTGTAGGCGCTCTGAGTCTAGTCTACAACTAGCCACAGTATTGGAATGTATATGTATGTAATAATGTACCAGCCAGTATACGTAGTTCGCAGTATAAATAGTAGTATGTACGTATGACCTATTATTATACAGAGTGGCTATATGCCCGGCAGCTGGCATATATTAGACAGCTGCCGGGCACGGTCTTCGATTTCCTAAATGCCCGGCAGTTTTTAATTTTCAGCGTTATCTCAAGTAAACAAGGGTTAGGGTTAGGAACTGCCTGGCATTTAGGAAATCGAAGACCGTGCCCGGCTGCCGGGCATGTAGGCTATAGCCACAGCGATTATTATAACTGGTGTCGGTTGAATCAACGTGAGAGAGAGTACCTGTGCACGTCAGTAGTGGGTGAGAGAGCTGTACGTTCAGCGCAGTTCAAGTTTACGTTCTGAGTTTTGACCGTGAGACTACTTTTGAACATGACACACTATATGTGAGATCGGCGAAAAACAATGAAGTCAATTGCTTGTTTATTCGTAATTTTCCACAACCTATTGCAGCACTGCTCTCGAATACGATTTTATATCGCATGCAGTGATCTAGTCTCTATATGTGCACGTGTGCTTTATTTAAATGAATATGATATTAAATATAATATTAGTGATGATAATTCATGTTTAAAATGTTAACACGCAATGAACGCGATGACATTGAGGGACAACGAGAATGTAGGAATTGCTGTACTGTGTGGTGTGCCCCCTGGAATGCAGACTTTATCGGGGATACGAGCCGATACTTTGGTCATACCATTCATTCCATTGCGATCCAACACAGGGATGAAGTTTCACATACTGATCGTCAGTGTACTCGGCACGTTTCTCGAAACCAGTGAGTTCTGTAGCCGCACGTTGTGTTTATCTAGTGTAGTCTTTATCACTATGATCATAATCCTGTTTTTGTGATGGCACGTAAGTGCGTTGCCGCACATTGATAAATCGATTTTCTCTATCGCTTCCCTTGTCGTTGTCGAATTTCAAAGAACGGATTTGCATTCTGAACAGAACTAGCTTCTCGGTACTATCAACACTATATATAAGTATGTATATGTGTACATCCTCCTACTTGGCATTATCCTAAGAGGATTCCTAGGAGGAAGTCTGACTGCTTATCCCAGTATCACGTAACCCAGCGCGAGAGCAGCCCAGCCCTCAGTCGTTACCAGTCGGTCGGTCACCCCTTAGGAAGCCATCGTGCCGGCAGTGACTCTCTCAGAACCCTCTCTCTCTGTGGGAGGGAAAGGAAGCTGTTAGAGGGCGGCAGTCTACGAAGATTCGTGCCGGGAGGCAGGATCCGTGTTTTCTCAGTGAGTCATCGGCGCTCGCGCCCCCTCCCCCAGGGGCCGCCTTTGTTCCCACGGATGTCAAGCCGATAATGGGGTAGAAATTAATGACATGCACAGGAATCCAGAGACAGGAAAATCCATAGTAATGCATATCGGTGGCCCTCGTCGCACGAGTGAATGATGGAAGCTTCGACGTCCTTGCGTATTGTTTGTGCGCGCGGTGGCACGACGGGATGGAGGAGATAGCGTTTGGTTCACAGGGGTCTGTGCTTTAGCGGTGTCACTCTGCAGCGCGTGACTGCGACCGGTGAGCACCGGGGTTGTATAGACTAGTGGGAGTGGGAATGCGTGGTTGGGTGGTGGGTTAGTGGTTGAGGGGTGGGCTTTTTCGATCGTAATGTGAATACGCAAGCTGCTTTTACGGTTGTGTCGACTTTACGATTCTTTGGAGCCTAAGTGGATGTGTGTGTGTGTGTGCGTGTGCGTGCGTGTGTGTGCGTGCGTGTGTGTGTGTGTGCGTGCGTGCGTGTTTATGTGTGTGCGTGCGTGCGTTCGTAGTTATGTATATTTTTCGTGCAAATGTGTGCTACCGTGGATGCAGATTGTGCAGAAACACGGCATGTCTGCTGTGAATTCAGAGTGCGTGCGTAGTGCAGCTGTTGTGTAAAATCCTCGCCGACCTTTCCCTACGAATTGAACAAACGCGCGATTCGTCGAGACGGGAGTGTTTTCAATCCGAGTTCTATGCTCGCCCAAGTTAGTCGACCTTGTTTCCAAAGCCGTATTTTAATTCACTTGGGAATATGGCGGGGGGGGGGACGTCGCCTCGGAAAATAATTTATCGATAACGCGGTGGTGACCTGCTAATGAGAACATTAAATTTCGTGACTCAGAGCCACGCATATTTTTCTTGGACGCACGCATTCAGTAGCAATACCACATGGTCATTAAGTGGCTTTTCGCCTAGTATAGCATGACTCAGAACAGGTTCGTAGATATTCGCTGCATAACTACAAACCTGGTTAATGCGATTGCTCTAAGCACGTAAAGCCAAATTAGCGTTGATGACGCGCAGCCAATTAAAAAATAAATCTGCAAAAATTGGGTCGGAATGACGGAAACCTGTTAAGGTTCCGGAACAATAAAATCTGCAGTAGGCGGATTAATCAATCTAGGCCACCCTGTAGATCCCATCTGATCAGGCGTTTAAAACTCTAAATACCACCTACGCGCGGTTTATTTTCGTCGAAATTATAATGCGCGACGCAACGTAGAAAGCGGAGCATCAATTACCGTCTTGGCTATAACTCTGACCGGATGCTACGGTTGGCGTGAACCAGCTGTCGAATCGAAAGAATGAGAAAATCACTTTTGTAAGCAGATCGGCTGCCTTTTTACGATTGGTTCCACTCTGCTACTTCTAATTTAGTAACCTGGTGGTGTTTTAGTGGGGGGGGGGGGGTAGTTAGTAGGTTAGGGAACGAGTGCGCGTGAGTTCGTGTGCGTTTGCTCTTGGTAGCTAGCCGCTCTTCTTTATGGTGGGTTTTATGCTTCACACTTCATTTCCGATCGCAGCGCAGTCAGCTAATTACTACGGTTCCGGCGCGAATTTGTTGATTCTGCGTTCGGCGATTATTATTCAATCACGAAATGTAAACGCCGCGCAAAAACGCCGAACGTCGTCAAAAGATACAGTTGCCATAGAAACGATCGATTCGCGGTGGCTGCGGGGGTGGTGGAGGGAGTGTGGTTGGATTGATCCTCGTCTATTACTGAAGCCATTCCGTTAGTCCGTCGGGAAGCAATGCGGGAGAGAAGCAGGGATTCATCCTGGAGGGGAGCGAGGCTGGATTGATCCTGGTCTCTTAGTCTTACTGAAGCCATTCCGTTAGTCAGAGCGATGCGGGGAAAAAACGGGGATTCATTCTGGAGGGAAGCACTACTGGATTGATCCTGGTCTCTTAGTCTTACTGAAGCCATCCTGTTAGTCAGCGGGGAGAGAAGCGGGATCGATCCTGTCTGCTCTCCTTCCGATGTCCACGTCGTGAGTCGGTGGGGAAGCGAAGCTGGAAGAGAGGCAGAGATCTTGTTCATGACGTGTGAAGTCTGTTTCTTCGTTGTCGCTCGTACGGCGCGCGTGTGTGGGGGAGGGGATGTGAGATGCTGTATCCTGTACGGACTTATCGCCGTGGCGATGTCGAGTGCGAAACGAAAGACTGTCGTCCTTCTCGCCGATATATTTTATGACGTAGGCTTTTTAACTCTGTCAATCTTTACTTTGCTGTGCTATCTTTAGCCTCACTGCATGGCTATCCTTAAGGTTCTCATTTGCAGTACTCGAGGACCCGTTGTCAGAAACAAAACTAGTTTTAACATTTCTTAAAATATGAGTTCTAACGTCTTAACATTAACTTTTCCTCGTAGTCCGGACGGCCCCCTATACATTGCGTATGTAAAACGTGTAAATTTACCATGTTTGTGTCAACAGTCTAACAGGAAAACAGGACTTTCAACACAGGATTTTAGTGGGTGTGGATTAAGAAATAAAAGGCTTCCTATTTTCTGTGCACGTAGAATAGTCGTGCAACGTGCTCAAGGTAAATTACTAACCGATGAAAATGATCTTGTCATCATTGTCACGCTAACGATAACGCTTAACCTAACTGTAAACATACATTGTGGTTATTTTCTACTATCGCACAGACGTCGTTGAGAAACTATTTAGGATTCTTTTTTCAAACTCGTTAAGTTCGTTCTTCGTTAGCTCTCGTGGATGAGTCATTCGCTCGGTGGTTCGCGTCCCCGTATTTGTCGTCTGCGTTGCGCGTCAGGCGTCGGTTCCATGCCGCCGCCATGCGTACCAACGCGTGACTAATCGTAGATACACGCCGAGCGGGTGAAACCCACCGGCAGTAACCTCCCTACTCCGCCCATACCTCCCCCTCTCTCGTACTCCCCCATATACCTCCACCTCCCCCACCTCCACCATTCCCACCGCCCTTCCCCATCTCCACCGCCCTTCCCCCATCCCCACCGCCCTTCCCCATCTCCACCGCCCTTCCTCCATCCCCACCGCCCT